TAAGTGGCAAATTCCAGCTTAACCTCATGTAAGTTAATCCGGATTCTGGAATCTGGGAAATGTTTGCTCGTGGATAGGCCTGTCCAGATTGTGCTCGGCAACTTTCGGGAAACTTCTGGCTTTTGGAGCAACTTTTTGAGCTTCTAACAACCTCGAGCAATCTTTTTCCTTTCTGAGCAATTTTTGAGCAAAACATAAGTTTAGAGCACGTATCAATCACGAAATAGTCAACGATTTCATACAAAAATTTTATTTATGCGAATTGTATTCTCTTGTAAATGATTATCCATCTTTGAACACATAACAAAGTTTTGCAGGCCTAAAAAGGCAATTGTTGCCGTATGAATTTAATTACTTAGTACCCTTAAAATTTCTCCTATAATTACGAGCTAACTTCAAGCTATTTTTCTGGACCGATGTTAGTAATTATTGTGGAGAACAAAAAACTAAAGCAGAAAAAATTTCAAAAAATAGATAAAATATGCAGAATTTCGGTAGCAACGTTTTGCGTTTTTGGCAATTTTGCAGCAACTTTTTGGCATTCCAGTAAGCAAGTTTCCAGCATTTTACGAGCACCATCGGGACAGGCCTGCTTGTGGAATCAGGATTGCATCAAATTTTTGCTGTGCAATCTGGAATCCTGGCCACTGGAATCCCGAATACAGCTCAAGGAATTCGGAATCAAACTAATGAGTGGAATCCGGAATACAAGTTCCAATGATTAAAAATCCAAAATCCAGTACCTAGAATCCTGGATCCACATCGAATCCAGAATCCAAGACTGTCTTGGATTCCTTTGAATGGGGCGACCAACCATTAATATCTAGATTTAGCCAGGGCTAAAAGCAAGCTCTGGTTAATAATACTTATAAACAAAAAAAATAAATCGTGCAATGCTTAACGGGGACGGCAATAGAAATGGCATCAAGATCAATAGATCTAATTAACAAAAAAATAAATAAATCTGCACGTGCAGGACACCTTTTTTTTCTAATTAGCAAAAGAACAAATTTGCATGCTTTCTTGTCTTTCTTTGCCTTTGTTTTGCAAGACTACAATACCATTTTATGCGACTAAAACTTACACATCATTTTTATGGAAGAATTGTCGTATGTGCTTACCAAAGATTTTGTTTACCGTGTTCTTGTTCGCTTTTATTTTTTCACTGCCGCTCATTTTTACCTTGCTGGCGCTCGCATTTCTCATTTTCTCACAGCCTCACCGCTATGAAATGTTCATGTTTTTCGCTATAACGACTTGTTTATTATTATACGCATAATTATATCCTACGGTGTAATATTCAGTTCACTTTCTGACGATTAACTAAACATCATTAGTAAAAACAGCTTTTAACCCCTTTCATTGGTTCTGTTTTTATCAGGAGAAAAGAAACGACCTTAAAAAGAGACTGGCGAAGATCAAACTGGAGTCGCGATCTTGGAGGAGAAGGGCTTGAGGAAATTTTTGAAATCTTTTATAACAACTGATTCTCTTGACGAGATAACAACATAGAAGACTTAGGAGTACTCTGAATAATTCTGTTCAGGCTATTTATAAATTTTGCTGTTTCAAAGAAACAATTTTCTTAAGTCCCGTTTTCGAAGGACTATTAGTGTAAAAGTTGCTTATAAGAAAAAGTTATTTACGTGTGCGCTTGTTGATAACGATTGCTCTGCTAAGAAGTTAAAGCACCTTTTTAGACTATTGAATATAACTTAAATTAGGGTGCGTCTGTCTCTTTCTTATGTTTGGCCTAACTTTGTTAACGAAAGAGACGATCCTCAATTAACAGTATTTAAACGAGTCAAGAAATTCTGTCTTGAATGAGTATATTCAATTTGTTTTTGGTTCTCAAGAGACTAGTCTTTTTCGTCAAGAGAGCCTGCTATAACATCCTAGTACTGGACGAGAGATACAAATGAATTTAGAAGTAAAAATAAATTATACAGTAAGTTAGAGCTATTTTATGTTAGAATTATTAGCTACGCATAGCGGGGAATTAGTTCTGACTGGCACTCAAGTAATTAGTGTGAGAAACATCATAACCGTGCAGGACGTTTTCTTGTTTCACCTAGAATGATGCAAAACATGAAAATCTCTATCTAATTAACATCGAGATGTGTACAAAAAGTAGGATTTACAGATACGATCAAGAGACTTTAAGATTGCTATTTCAGGCATTGTCGGCAAGTATAGGTATTTACTATAACCCTGCACGTCGCTTAACCCTTTAAACCCTAATATCAAAAGTGAAATTCTCATTCATTGCCCCCGAACGTTTCCCATAAATGTGGAGGGGAATACTTTTTGCAGAATCAGCCAGATTCATCTTGTGTGATGAAGTCCTTAATTCTTGTCACCGATCTGTTTTATAAAGCATTAATATTACTAGGAGTATGTTGATACTGAACTCTTTAAGGGCTTACAGAGTTAAATGCTGCAGTAATAATATATTTTTTATCCTTGGCATAAACTACGCTTATGTATTTTGAAAGCTATACCTGGAATATACTGTCTGTATGAGCTGTAATCAGGTGAAAATATACTGGCTATCCTTCTGAGCGTCGTTTGGGTTTATTTGTCTGTTCAATTGCTATGGCGTAGAATCCAAGTTTGCTCTGTACCCTGCTTCGAGCTTCTGCCCTCTCAGGGTCCCCCCATTGGGGAGGGGGTTTTAAGGGTGGGGTGAGGATTTACAATTTCCATTTTTCCAGGCTAACCTATCATGTAGCTCCAAGAGCCCCCGTCCCATATAACGTTTGCCTCAAATCCCATTCCTAGTGGCAATTTAAAGTAGTAGCACTAAGTGAGAATTCTCTCTTGGTAGCACCGAACAAGTATTTTGCCAAGAGCCCTTAAGGGTAAACAGTGGTTTTGAGTCGTGACGGTCCTGGAATTATTTTTTTGAAAAAATATACCATTTGCGTCTTTTTTTGAACAGGGCGTGCCCTTTCTTAAACGATAGCCGTAACATGTGATCTTTAATCTCCAGCCAATGTACAGTAGAAGCTTTGCGCAAATTGGCAGTGAAGCGTTCCCTCGTCGTAACATAACAATACATTGCCGGAAACTGTAGATATCCGAGCTTGCAACGTTGTTATTGTGGGAATTAATTTTATGGACCCGCCTATGTTGTTGGAAATATTCTGAATTGTTAGATTAATGCAAGGCCTCTAGCGTCTCTTCATCAAACTCAAACCATAAACCTTGGGCACTAGACTTAAGCTCAATATGGAGCTTTTTTCACATGACGTCACGGCGGCCATATTGGTGTCTTAAAACAATGAAACGGCGGCCATGTTGGTGTTCCAAACACTGATCCGTTGGGAGTTGAACTCTTTTCTCATGTAAACAATTTCTTTTGTTCCCATAAATTTGCATAGATCCTGGCCACGTGAGTGTAAACTCTCTATTGAGTCTATTCAATGACACTGACCTCCCTTAAAATATGCTCTGTTCCAAGGAGTGCTGTTTTGGTTTTTTTTTAAAGCTTGATACTACCTGGAATGTAGGTGGTAGACTTATCGGTGCCTTTCTTAATTCCCAGTAGTCCTGATAGTTTTGCATTGGCGTATGACTACATGGATTAATTGCGTTCTAATTTAGTGCTTTCGGGCAATCTCTAGTTCCAGCTTAATATCACGAGACAATTTTTCTGACACCTTGATGGAAGTATTTCTGTCGCAAAGTAAAGCCACGTTAACGAGAATGCATTGGTTTTCTTGTTTAGTCTACCATAACTCTAGCAAAGGTTCGGTTACAACTCGGGGGGTACTCAACAAAAATTTATACGGAGAGGCTCCTAGCTTAATCTCCTTCAGCCGTTATTAGGGTCGTCACGCAACGCTCCTCCCACTAGTGGGGAGGAGCGTTGCGTGACGATCCTAATAACGGCTGCAAAGGAGACTATTCCTACCCTAAAAGTCCAACCCTTACCCTTTATTTCTAACAGAAAAGGGACTCTTTTGTATACCTCTATTGAAAAATGGTACCCTTTCACATACTGATTTTGAACTTGGCTTCCATTTTTCATGCTGTAAATGCACCGTCTTTTAAATTTGATTATTATTCATTCAAAATATTTTCCCGATTCTGATTGGCTAAAAGCACACGTTTAATTCACCATAACCAGTTACTGATGACCAAATTTGGAAGAATTTTGTGTTTAACGAGGAAATGACGTCAAAAATGCAGCGTTTTCGCAGGTTAAGGCACCGTTAACCGAGAAGACCCGGCGACGACGTTGAGTTGTTTTTGTTGTGAACTTGAAAAATGGCGGATATTTCACTCGTTTCAAGTGTAAGAACTAGGCGAAAAAATAGCTAAAAACATGGCAAGAACAGCAAGAAGACAACTCGAAGGGCGGCATCTGCTATTTGGAGAATATTTGAGGAGCTGGACAAACCTAAACGTGTACTATCGAAGATGAACTTAACATCGATGGATCGATGGAGGTAAGCAAGTTTTAGCCATGTTTTTAAACTAGGAACTATTTTGAATGAATAATAAAACAATTATTGAATTCGGCTTTCGTATCATATGAAGAATTATGGAGATCTCGGAGGGTGTTATCCGCCTCGGCCTACGGCCTCGACGGATAACACTCTCCTCGATCTCCATAATTCTTCATAAGATACTCAGCCTCATTCATTAATTGTTAAATAAATCACTAAATCAGGTATTTAATTTATTCGTTTTGACATCATGCCAGTCAAAGCAAAAAAAGGGGCACATTGACCCTAATCATGAATGTCACAACGACACTGACGTCCTCTTGTATAGTTGCTACAGAACTCTACTGATCCTCGCTGCAATTGTTAACAGCAAACTCTTCGTTTCTTCATTTGGAGTTCGTTTCTAAAAAACTGGTATGTCGGAAGAGTGAAATAGATGTTCCTCTAAACAGCTTTCCAAGCTTTGTAGAAAACATAGCTGAAAAGTCGATTAGATCAGGAAAATAATCTCTGTAGACTACCGACTAAACAATCTTTCAACATCAAAGCATCCAGATCAATTTTCCAATGAGAAGAATATTAATGATCGTCCTAGCTTTTGGTGCTAGAGACGGCGATATGCTCCTCCGGACATCTGAAGGAGAGATACTTGAAGAATCTCGTTCAGAAAGTGGGCCAACACCGATCACAGACATGGAAACAGCCACAGAAACTGAAGTTGACGTTGGCGGTGTGATAGCTGAAGGCCAAAAACTGCTTGACGGTGAAATCCCCAAGGTAAAACTGCGGGACATGCTTGCACTGCCTTGAAACAAAGAGTTCAATATTAGAACACCGAAATTTCTCAGTTAAACTCTTTGCCAAAAAAGCTATTTTCAAGTTGTTTGTTTTGGTTGTAATTGCAAACTGTAAGGCGGGCTATTTCCAAAAACGGAGTTTTTTTTTCCTCTGTTTTGGGAAAATACGCACCCACACGTCTATTTTCTAACTTTTGAACCCTACTCCTGTCTCCTCTAAACAGAAAAAGGAAGCCTCCTCCCCACCCCCTATTCAAAGTTGTCTTGGTCTAAAAACCAACGTGTATAATTGCCATACTATCCTAAACAACTTTGAATAAGGGGAGGGAGGAAATCGGGCATTCATTTGGCGGAGGTTTCAGTTTTTGTCAGGATGATAGGAAAAAATGGGCGTTTTCGCGATTTGTCTTAACAGGTTTTGTCCGGGGTTGTACCTTTGAAATAACAGTAAAATTGTTGAGCGATGATAGCCCCATTTGCACGATGATGTCTTTTTACTACTAAGACCAGAATTCATTTCAATTTTTGTTGCATATTCAAGTTTGGTAATCCCAGTAAGGTTTAAATAAAAAACTTTAGCCTTGTTATGTACAAGAAAGCAAAAACTTGAAGGATTCCGGTCTGAAAATGACGCCACCGTCCAAGCGGCCTATTTCCCCTTTTTCCCGTTGGTCACACGGGCTAGCCTCCGACACAGACGTTCTTACGGGGTTCGTCTCGCGTTCCTGCCCGAGGGGCAAACCCCAACGAACGTCTGCGTGGGAGGCTACACAGGCACGCGAGCTCGTCAGAATTAGTTGAAAAAATGTTATGTTAATGTCATTGAATAAATAACAGTTATACCCTGAAGTGGAGGTAGTTGGCGGTTACCTAGCAGCGAAGCGGCAAGGTAAATGTACTAAAACAGTGGGATAATTGAGCACTAAAATAATGGTTTTTAAGTCATTTATTGCTGCCGACGATTGCAATATGTCACGCAAATGATAGAACAGCCGCAACTTTTTTTTCCCGAGAAAACAATGAAGCCATTTGCTTAGTTCTTAGGAGGGCATTTCTTCAAAAAGAGTTGTGAATTCTTTTTGCATTTGAAACCATCCAGTAAAAAAAGTGGTCTTAAGCTTATTTCTGAAAACAAGACTTAATTTGCATTTGTAAAAGGAAATTTCTCACCGGTTTCATCGATTCATTAATTCAGGTTAAACGGACAAAGCATTACGTGTTAAAACCTGCCAAACCGAATTTCATCGCCTCTTCGATTCGTTTACTTGTGAAATTTCCTCGTTTGTTACGGCTGCAAACCGGAAGGACATTTTGCTCGTAATTGTCGCTCGGTGATGAATAGCACTGCAATTCCCAAATTTGAGAAGCCAATCAGAACCCGCGAAAAACACTATCCACTGTTTTAGTATATACTTAAAACTAATGACGCATTTCTCCACTGCATACTCGAACAGATAAAAAAAAATAATTCCGTAAGATGTTCAAAGTTTTCAATCTACGGTGGCTCTAGGTTCCACTTTATTTTCAGCATTTTCATCATTTTTTGGGATTTTTTTTGAGTGTATGTAGACAGTTAAGGGTTGTGGGTGAGGTTTTTTGTTTTGAAAAAAAAAAAAACGTCTATTTTCGCGTTTTTATCAGTCACACTGTCTACTTACCTAAAAGTGTCGCAGAGATCCTGCTTGCTGCTACTGATCTGTTAGTGCGGTTGATATTAACATTAATCCATGGCAAAAGGACGCGAACATTTGCATATACCCCGTAAGTGTTCGGAGCTGCACACCCTCTTCCCCAGCTAATGATTCCTTCAAGAAACCACCTGCCGCTAAACTCACAGACCAACGGTCCGCCACTGTCACCTTGACAGGCGTCTACGCCACCGAACCTGGTACCTGCGCAGAGCATAGTGTCATCAAGTTGGTTCGGGTAGGCTAGCAGGCAAACTTGTTTGGAAACAACGGGTACTTGAGCTTGCATCAAGGTGTTTGGTTGAATTCCTCCTGAATACAGTGTACCCCAGCCAGTGATCCAACATGTTTTGCCAACAAGGGATAGATTCATATCCGGCAGACAAGCGGCTCCTACTTGATTGTTGAGGTTAACTGCTTTTGCCAGTTTTAGAAGAGCGATATCGTTGCTGTAGAAGAGTTGCCTGCCGTATTCCTGGTGTACGATAATTTCTAAAACATTTATATCCTGTTCTGAACCCACAGTACCATTTACTCTAAAGTGGGCTCCCATTCTAGTAAAAAAGAAAAAAAAAAAAGGTCATAAAGACATGCATTATAATAATTATGATGATACTTAATTCCTCGCGAAGCGCCGAGCCGCGAGGTTTATAATCTCGTCGCGCGCGAAGCGCGCGTGTATAACACGAGCATCGCAAGGTCGCATCGCATCGCAATGGACGAAACTAAACTCTAGTTAAGTCCGTCTGCGAAACAGAGCCGAAATCCTTGTTCTGGGCCCCCACCTATGTACCAGGATTTGAGTACGCGCCATGATTGGCTTGTTGGAAAAACCATTGTTGTTTGTCCAATCAGGATGAAAGAAAATTCGAAACGCACTTCCAGTAATTCTTTGAGTCCGTTGGAGGGGGGAGGGGGGGCAAAACAAGGATCTCGGTGCTGCTTCGCAGACGTTACTTATCGAGGATAAATTATGTCTAGGACGCAGGCTAGGAGAAGCTATAATTATGATTGCTTGGTATAGTAAGTTTCAATTCGCCGCGGGTAAGGGCACTCAAGACATTCTTGGATTCAGGATTCCAGGTACTGGATTGCAGTCTTTGACATTGGAACTTGGATTCTGGAATTCAAAGCCCAGGATTCTGGATTTCAAAAGCAAGACTTTCCCAGATTCCAGTTTCCACAAGTAAACATTTTCCGGATTCCGGAATCCGAGTTCCCTTACATCATGTTACATGGGGCCATTCCAGGCATGTATTTCAATTTTTCCTTGGATGAATAAACTAATAAACTGTTTACCAGGCATCTGTAGTCCAGGCCACGGGCCCGGTCCTGCGGCCTAATTGGTGTAATTTAGTCGTACTCACATATAAGGAAAAATATTTGCAAGAGGACTATAAAGAGATAAAAAATGCCATATGAGGTTAAAAAAGAAGATGCTAAGGGACTGGTAGAATATGTTCACTATAGCATAGGCTCAGTACTTTTAGATCTCATCTCGGGATAGCAGTTATCTGTAAATAGGCAAAGTGGTTTGTTAGTTTTGCCTTGGTGTCCTGTACGAAGGAGTTCGTTACATGGGTTTTCAGCTGTTATAATTACCAAGTCGATGTCGTTCTTTGAGTTCATTTATTAACAGTAGTTTTATGATAGCTTTAAGGTCCCTGACATTACTGAAGAACTACTAAATGGTAGTACTGGGTTTCGACAAACGAGTCGTAGTGGACTGGTCACCTTTCAATCATATACACGTATGAATAGCACAACGGACACCGTTTTAGGGGTTGGTTGACAGGGGTGAGGCCTGGTTTCTTTTGATATCTTCCGTTTCCTTTGCAGGGAGAGCGTCCCTTCAGGTCACGCGGGACACAATTTTCGACACTGATTGACTAGTGGAAGAATAGACCCCCTTTACTACTATAATAATGTTCTCACCTGACAAACATGTCTGACGGCCTAAGGACTACAACGCAGTGAGCAGCTGTTACAACCCACAAAGGATCGACCAAAGTGCCTCCGCAAAACTGCGTACGGCCTCGGTGTGTCAGTAGCATCGCCTGCCATGGCCATGAGTTCACAGCTGCTTCTGTACCGCCGACGATACGTGCTTGAGTCAATGGGCGTGAGCCACAATCACCTAAGTGAGTGAGGAATCCAAGTACAAGTAATACAAAGGAAGACATAAAATCAATTTTTAGCTCATACAAAATTATGACAGAATACAATCGGCTAGTTGTTTTTTATTTTCTTATTTATTTGTTTATCTTTCACAAGTGCGTGTACAGTTAAAAAAAATTATATTACCTGCGCCGACAAAGATCTGTGACTTTTTTTGACAACGTTCCTGCTCGTTTTAAAAAGCGTTCTTGTCGAGTCTTTTACACTATACTAGCGACATCTGCCACTAAAAATTTTCTCTTGATAAATCTTCTTACTCAAAAGCTATTACCATGTTTTTTTAAGGAGAATGTAGGGTATTTGTAACGAAGCAGTAAGAGGGATGCTAAGTTTATCCTGTGTTACATGACCAGGAACATTGCTATCTCTCACGAAGCTTATGCTTAGTGCTAGAGTTAGAGTTGCGCGTTTCCGGAAAGGCTATTCCTCCAACGGGCCTGTCGACGAATTTCAGGGTTAGAGGAGGCGTTTAGCAAATAGAGCACATAGAGCGCAAGAATAGTAATAACGGGGTTAATGGGGAATAAAGTAGATGGCCTGGACCCAGTTTAAACAATTTACGTGGTCATTACACCAAGTACACAGTTCAGATTATTGCTATTATACCCGGGATACAGACCTGTTTTGTTTTGTTTTGTTTTGTTTTTTCAAAAGCATTTTCTCCATTATATTTAATTAGTCATTTAGGGGCATTCGAACATGGAATTATTAATAGGCACAGATACATGTAATAAACATAAAAAAATTCTGTCGGCCAGGAAAAAAATTAGTTAGACTGCAAAACACTTGTTCACACCCTCGCTCCAGACCTATCGTTTGACCGATCGCGCGAAAACCCGCGCCTTGAAACTAACTCGGAGGAAAAAAACACGACTGTCTTGCAGTCTAGAAAAAAGTGCGAAACCATGTGGGCTTGATTTTCTTGTTTTACTAGGCAGTCTATAATGCGAGAATAACTGGTGCATAAATAGTAATTGCTTAACTCTTCGGAGCTTTTTTGTAACAGTAATGCTATCATTGAAAAGCTTCTGGAAATCTTTGATATCAATTTGCATTAACTTTGCGATTCTATTGTTACTTTGGTACTTGTCAATTACGAAAGTGTAGAGTTTTTTATTCTCCACAAGTTAAGCGACAGGTTATCGACAGGATATGAGACCATATGAGATGGACAGTTCTCACGGTCAGCTAGCCCAAGCACGTCTACAATTTGGTTATTTAATTCGCTGGTGATGGGCTTGCTAGTAAAAGAAGCATTGCAATAGTTGAGAAAGAGTTGTTATAGCGGTAGAACGCCGAGAAGAATAAAGTCACAGAAGTACAACAGTAGAAGAACCGAGTCTCGGTTCCCTCGTTAACCAGCCAAGTGAGAACCATTCAGCCCCCAACACCATTAAAATTAACGGAATGTGAAGGCGCCAAATTGAAAAGTATTATTAGAGACTTGTTGGATAACTTATAACTTAGAAATGTCAGCTGGTTGCTGCAAATTGGATGCATTTTCTCCATAGCGTTATTCGTACATTTGCTATAGTACACATGGTGAGAATTTCTTAAACATTTTTATTTTGCAGCTGTCTAAGACCACGCGCGGTTAGCAAACTGTGCGCGCGCTTCGCGCGCGACGAGATTATAAAGTCGCTACGCTCGGAAAACAGTAATTAAAAATTATTCTAAGAAATCGTGATGAATAGTGGGAGAATATCTACCGAGCTACGTTTAATTATATTGCACTGGTATCCAATATCGCCTATAGTTCATCACAAGGAAACATAACCAAAGAAGGAAAGTTCTCCTTTTTCCTCACAACTTTTGTATTTGATTGGGCTGGTTAACCACAAGGAAAAGATTTATTTTGATCACTCTCAAGGGGTTAACTATGACAATTCCAAAGAAAGCCGTGAAAGCCAACAAAGATGTTTATTCAAGTCAGTGTGATGGGCATGAATTGAAATATCATTGATATTTCACATTTTAGGTTACGATATGTTAAGAGACTTATTTCGTCATTTGTCATGATATTCGATCACTTTCCAAAAGTAGTTTTGAAAAGCCTGAAAGTGAAAAAGAAACAAACAAACAACATCTCCCTGAAAGTGGCCTGTGAATACAGCCATTTCTGAAAGTACTTGCTATAGAACTGTGTCAAAATAATTTGCCGACACTTATGATTCAGACCCAATCCGTGAATTCACTTATTTGGTGAAAAAGTTCAATATTACTTGTCACAAACCGCATATTACCAAGTGCTACCTAATCCCACGACCCTAGCGAAATCAGAAACAATGATGAGTCATTCTGACATCTTATCGTAATCGTATCAGGAACCGAATGGAGAAACGTAGTACCGTCAAATTGTACTTTATCAGAAATTACTTAAAGTCAAAAGGATTGATTGATTCTTGATCAGTTTCGCCACTCTTCAGTTAATAGGTCTGTAATTATGTGGGAAAACGTCCTAGAAAATAAAATCTTCGAATCGTTCTTATTAAGTTTGCAGCACTCAAGTTACTAAAAATCACGCGCCTTTGATACTGGGACGCATCTGATTATTGGCGTGCTAAGGTTCAGTTCAATCCGGAAATATGAAGGAGTGTAGCGCGGTTTTTATGATTACATTCATCTCCATTATTTCGAATACTCCTGGGACTAGCCAAGTACGACAAAGAATTTCATGAAATTAAAAGATTTACATTTGTTGATTTCAACAGGCATTTACATTAACTTTACAGACAAAACCAGCCTCACGGGCACTCGCTTAATATGGACACCTCATAACAACGGATAGTTTGCTTTGTCCCTAGGGAAAGAAAGCCCTTACATCTGCTCTAAATTCAACCCTCTTTATAATACGGACATTTTCTCTGCCCCCCTCATTGTCTGTATTAAAGTGGTTTGACCCCAGTAAAAATTCAAGCCCAAGTAAATATTTTGACAGACGGAACGGACTTTCATATCCATGGCAGCCGCACGTACAATGGAAAAGCTAAAGAATTTCGATTGATTTGCAACAGAAAGAGCGTAATCTAAGCAAAGGTGTCAAAAAAAATAATGTAACAAAGAAATGACCAGCTTGTAGTTGTTTAAGCCGTGCATTCAAAGTTTGCTTAATTTAATCTTTAATTATAGTAACTGGAATAAGAAAAAATTTTGAAGTTGGAACCAAAACATGTGACTGTCCGGTAACTTAACGTCAGTGTAATTATCCGAGATTCAAATGCTGTTTTCAACAAGGCAAAAGTACCAGTTGACTTTAGACGAGTTCGACACAAAGACACTTACCTTGTACAGCAACAGGTACAAGTCGTAGAAGAAAGACCAAACACAATGCCCCCAGTCTGTTTTGTTTGGCCATAATTTCGGTGTGGACCATAATTTCTTCACCTGCGGACTTTGTCTGTATATGAAGTCATCGGTGACACTTGGATGACTTCTGTTGATTTGCCTCGATTGACTGAAAATTGAGTCATGACGACATTTCCAAATGCACTGCTTCAGTTACAGTGACGTGTGTTTTCTTTTCACTTCTTTAAATGTTCAGGGTAACAACTGAACATTTATCAGTGACCATCAATTTTAAGCAGTGAGCGTAAGGAGTACACAGTTGTTTTCCCACGGGAACAGTTACACTGTATATCTGATGTAAATATCAAGTACCTCTAATAAGGACGTCAATTAATGAAAATGGAATAAATTAGTGACAATACTTGAAAAGTCACAAAAGATGAACATTTTTGGGATTTTGTTACCTTACGCACAGATTCGCAAAAATGGCAAATCGACACAAAAACAAAAAAAATGCTTGTGCTCTTTTGAGAATAGTTGTGACATATGGACTGATAAGCATAGGCTTGTTCTTGTTTTGATACTTTACGCAGCTAATTCAAGCCAGATACATGCACAACAAAAAAGACGTAATCACAAAGATCGTCACGTAATCCTCTCAATTTCCTGCCGTGTTGGATTAAAAGGATAACGCTAACATTTTCCACGACTACGCTGTGCTGGTCCGTTTTTTACAGCTGATTTGAGAAAGATTTATTACAGTGTAATAACTACAAAGAAGATCATAGCAGTTAAAGATTGACGCAATGATTAAACTGTAGTCAGAAAACGCGAAACCGTACGCGAATGCCGGTTATTTCGACCAGCGGTCAATCTACCGTTACAGAGAAGAAAGCGAAGACAGAATTGAGGAAAAAATGGAACCTTAATTGAAAAAGACCGAAGGTCTTCACTGGAAGGTCTATACATCAAGACCGTAAGAGGATCTAAGAGTATCCCGTAAGATTTATAATATATATGCTTATCTTATGCTTACGAGAAGACAAGGTTTAAGTTCTCAATTATGAGTTTGTTAAAAGGTTTCTCCAAGCTACACCGTCGCGACATCACTATAATTATACTTACTAAAATAGCCATAGTTTGCCAAAGACAACAGTTGTGGTTTTGACGGTTGAATCGGCAGCAATCGAGCAACCTCAGCAAACCGATACAGATAGACTTAATTGAAAACAGGTGAAGCAAAATTAAAGATCTATATTTTATTTCACTACAACATTAGGAAAAAAAATATCAACAGGTTATGTACATGAAATGAAGAAAATCCAATAGATTTTTTAGTTACCGTTGTCTTTGCCGAAAAGAGAAAAATAACCCGGTGAAAAAAAAATTCCCGACCCGTCCCGGCTAGTAGTGAAGCTTCTATGGTGCATCTTTTCATGAACGTTAACAATTTCTTAAATCACTTAGGCAACTTTTTTAGGCCTGTTTCAAACGTCGTGCTTCTGCCGTGCTAAGCTGGCTCGACTGTAGCTCGACTGCAGCACGACATTAGCACGCCTTGATTTCAAACATCGCGCTACTGCCGTGCTAAAGTCGAATTTAATTCGATCAATTTAGTTCGGCACGGCAGCCAGCACGACGTTTGAAACAGGCCTTATAGGCAATCCTTTAGATCCACCTCAAAGGTGAACTGGAATCAAACCATATATTATTCAACTATCATAACTGACTGCTGTATTAGTTGTCTTTTCGTTCAAGGCTGCGCTGTTGGAAATGATTTCAACATTCATGTTGTTTTCCGTTATTGCGTCTTCCTCAAGATAGTAATTCCAGACTGGCCGTTTCCTTGAATGTCGTTGTGGTAATACCTTTTTCCTGCTGAAATAAGATCAGTGGCAGTGTGAGGTGACTGATTTACTAATAAGAGAAACCCAGTATTTCCCCGGTAAACCACAGTCAGTTGATTTAACATTAGAACTCTTCGTTTACTTTTTAAATCATCTCACCACCAAATCTTATTGGTCCATATAGTGAACTCTTATTAATACTAAGTAACTGCAGTAAACTCCGGTAACTCGGACTCTGAAGGGAAAAGAAAAAAAGTTCGAGTGATCTGGATCGATTGTGTATTCGATTGCCACAATTATTAACACTTTGATACTTACTGCCGTTTTAGAACTTCAGTGTATTATGAGCACAGTGCAATTTTCACTGTTTCATCAGAAAAGGTAACATGATTTTGCATTTAAATGATAAAACGACACTAGATGGTTGCACCAATTAAAATCAAATTTCTGTAGCGTCAGTTTTAGTAGTTTTACCAGTTACACAACAAGAAGAGCCACTGGGATGGTATCCGAGTGGAGATACAAGAACCAGAATTCGAGTTATAGGAGTAAATTTCAGTGAACTTTTGATCAAGGGAATGGAAATTTAGTTCGGTTTAGCGGGAAATTCGAGTTATCAAAGTTTGAGTTAACCGAGTGAAAATGACTAACCCAAAGGGATGGGGATTTGTTTGAGTTATCGGGGTTGTACTGTAGCAATAATGGATCGCTTTCTCAGGATTCTGCTCCTAAGTAAAAGTTTTTTCCCTGGGCTCGATTACCAGCCGCTGTTCGGGAAATTAGCCCGCGTTCCTCCCCTGAACAGACTCTTCTCTTCTCTTCTCGGGGAGGGCCGAGAGAGCGGTGGAAAACGAGCCTACTATTTCCCTTATTCTCCTATTTCTCCTTGGACTTCCACTCCCACCCCCCCCCCACCCGCCCCCCTCCAGCCTTTTTCCTACTGTTCCCTCTTACTCAATCACGACCTGATAAAAACCTAAACAATACATGTCTTACCTGCTAAGCTTAATGATAACAATAGTCACAACAGGTAATAACAAGACTAATCCTCCACCAAGAACACCGACAATAATCCATTTCCAATCGTCTTTGTCGCTGGTTAGTTGTACGGGTCTCAAAGTATCAGCGCGTGGCGTTGAAGGCGGCCCGGACAGAGCTTCCACTTTGGATATATTTGCCCCAATGGCGGAGCCGATCTCTGATTTGTGCTTCAGAACAATGTCCAGTAATGTGCTGCTAGGCAATGCTGATTGATTTCCGACGAACAGTCCCAATGGCTGCTGTATGTAAAAAGCAACCAAAATGGTATCTGACGCATTGTTGGGGTAACCAGGAAGCAGATGAACTCGCTGAGACGAGTAAAGGGCGAATCTGATAAGAGGACATGCGAATGAACCATCAGATAAATAATTAAAACAGATCGCCCTTATTATTTAGTTTGGTATACACCTTATTCCAAAATTGTGGTAATCAATTTGATCTGCGGAATTCAAAAGAACCTTTACCTGGAAACGAGGCGTTGAGGGTCAATTATCATAAAAACAGAAGAACAACTAAATTTACAACACCATTTCAGTATGAGGTGCATTTGTATAGTAACTACGATTAACAATAGTAATCAGTGGCCACTGAACTGTTAGCTTTTCTTTCAAGAAAAAATTCTAAAACTGTAACATTTAAAGCAACGCGATACCGAAAGCATCTATCTTTATTCGACACTTATAAGGTCAAAATAGCCACCTTAATTTATAATATATACAACCGCATAACTCCATCATGCTTGGAACATATAATCCAAAGGAAAGAGTCTAAGTATGACCTCCGTCATCAACATCGTGTTAGCGTACAACGTTTTGAAACTTATTATATGAAAAACTCTATTTCTTACAGAGGATCCATTGTTTGGAATCTTTTAGAGCCATCCGCTGTCAGCGCCAGGGACTTTGCCAAAAGGGCAAAAAAGTCTCACGCCTTCAGAAACTTGAACTTTAATGAAGAGTCCCCGCAAATGGGTCGTCCCCAAATTGACAGTGATTTCGTCTTTTATCAATTCTATTCATATCTTTTATTGTACATATTTCACCTTTTAATGACTACATTCAATTTAATAATTTTTATCATTTTATTTTATTAACATTTTTTACACGGCCCCATAAGCTATATTAGCTTTAAAACCCACCGTGTTTAAATAAAAGATGTTGTCATTTTTTATTTATTTTGTTCATCATTTGTGGAACCCGTCCAGTGAGGAAGGGAAAATAGGGGACACACAGGTCCCATGTGAGGTGTCGTCCCTACTCAATCCCTCCCTCAGATACCAGAAAGAAGGGGTATGGGGAGTCGTAGGCAACGTTTTGGCACCTAGTGGTTCATTTACGTCCCACTCATCAGTGAAAGTATCTATTTACCTTCCTTGTCCTGTAATTTTTAATGCGCATGATGTACTGTTAAAATTGCAGTACTTTGTTGCAACAGACGCCATTCCAACTTTGAAAGAATTGTCCGTCGTATAATCCCATTTAAACTGATAAAGAAAGAAACAAAGTAGACAGTTAGGAAATCAAGAAACATATGAAATTGTCCTCTCCTTGTTTTAAACAGTCAATTAACGGTTACACAACGAATAATTCGTTTGACCTTTATGTTTGGATTTTTCGAAACTCCGGATCAGAAGCAACTTTTAATGAAAGTACATGTGCCGAGTGACTATCATGATTTCGGTTGAGCAAAATTTGTCTTTGAAATTGTGAAAAAAAAAACAGCCCGGTTTTCCTATCGAATTAGACCATCAGAGAGTTTGGGAATAATGACAAAGATATAGATTGTTTACCATTTACAAAAGTTTTCCGGGAATTCCGGTTGGAAAGTGAATGAAACACGACTTTTTGGTTCTTCCCAACAGAAAATTCCCAGGAGCAACGGAACATCTAAAAAATAGTCCTGTTTTTCCGAATGGAATATTCCAAACGGAAATTTGTGTTCCATTTTTTCAAACCCATCTTTGATACCAGTTTCAGGCCTTCGCGGCCGTTTTCCGGTAAAATAATGGAACTGATTTGTACAAATGGTAAACGCGATTCCGGGACCAAATTCACCAGTCCTGAACTTTGCGAACAATTTGCCCACACTATGAACCGACCGTAATAAATGGTAAACAACCATAGTACAATTACGGGTTACGTCCTCTTACAGTGCTGTGTTGCAGAATGGATATCCGCACTGCGTGATCTCTTTCTTCCACTGATGGGTTTCGTGGTTTTGGTAGCTCAGGAATAGGAACTGTCTCATTCTTCGCCAGCCCTACATTATGACAGACATCAGAGAAAGAAACTGAAATGTGGCGTGGATAGCATAGAGGTCTGAGAAAAAGTTAAGTTTACATGCATAACAATATCCATCATTTGCTTTAAAAAAGGACCAAAAAAAAATTGGATTCGGGTAACTGTAGCGGCCACGAACGCAGGCCCTGCGTTCGTAGCCGCTACAATATTTCCGGTCGTGGCATCTCTCCAGCCGATATATTCCTTTTTGGGTGGAGAGAAGCAACGACCGGAAATAGGTCTGCGTTCGCAGGCTAAAGCCACTTTAAAAAGAGACAGCATCATGCAAATTCTCTTCCAACTAATGACGAGTGGCCAGCTACGAAAGAAGGTAGTATCGAGCGACCCCTTGTCGTTTGTAGGGAAGCCAAGGTTTACGAGAACGAGTCGCTTCTTTCTCTCTTAATCTCTATTCCTTCTAGGGTAGAGAAATCTGGCAGTAAGAAGAGGGGAACTGAAAACAGTATTGAAACCTAAACTGTTGTGTTTTCGCGGACGCGCAGACAAAGTACCTCTGCATTTTCCATCAATGAAGTAAAGATTCGGTCCACATTCACATCTGTAAGTACCAAGATCGTTGACGCACTCGTGAAATTCGTCCGGGCAGCTGTACAAGGCTTCATCTACACATTCATTAATATCTAGCAACACAAAAATATAAATGGGTCGGATCTAAGATTTTATACAATATAACTCTCTATCGAGAAAAGGTTTTTCTTTGTCAATCCTTGCTATCAAGGGATCACAGTATATACATGTAGTGCTTAAGAATCCAGAACGTTTTTCTCGATAATAAGTAACCTTGACAAAAGGTCTTTGCACAAGCCAGTTATAGGCCTTTAAAGTGAACTGAACGAAAGGCAATTAATTAATTATATATCAACAAATACCTTCGCAGCTGTATCCGTTTTTGCTCAGTTTGAATCCTTTTGGACACAAACAAGTATATCCTCCAGGGGTATTTTTGCAAACATGGCTGCATTGATGATCATCTTTTTCCGGATCACACTCATCGATATCTGTGACAAAACAAAACAGTCATGGGAATGTTGTTTGTATCAAATTATCAAAATTATGTCTTCAGATTCAGTACTTAACTAGCTGATACTCACAGAGTTTTTTAGCAAAAATACTGTCTTATAAAACCTTAAAACGTGTATGGTTTTGCAATTTATGTATTAGGTAAGACTTGTCCTGGTCGAAATTCCCGACTTATTAGCAAATTGCAAGTTTCAAAACAATATCTGAATCTTTCCACAGGGGATAAAGCAGTTACTTACTAACTCAGCCACAAAGCGTTTCGTGCATTTATAATAACTAACTAAGGTTTTTAGGGTCCAGGAAAAGGTTAGCTTTTGGGCACACTGAACCCTTTCATACCGACTTTTACATAAACTGTTGCTGCACTTCAAACCTTTGCACGTCTTTCCATCACTCTGTAACTCGTATTTAGCCGAACAGTCGCAAGTTGATTGGTTGTTGGCTCCTGTGAAACAAATTTGGTCACAGCCAGGATCTGAAGAACAAGGAATCGTTGCTGACGAGAGAAGACATAGTGAGCAAATTAGCTGTATATATACTCCCTCCATTACAGACCTAAAAATCAAATACACTGGAGACTAAGGATTAGCCAAGCCCGAATATAAATTATTGATACACATACACCGCAGACAACAATACGAGTGCTTCATGTCCGGACACCTTCCTACTTCGCCAACTTATAACATCACAAAATAAATCCCAGAACCGGCATCTGACAAAGAACCCGCAACTGAAATTAAATCTACAGCGGTTCTGCCATACATCAAAGGTTTATCTGAACCACTTCGTCGTTTCCTACAACAGCAGAGCAACCTAAGGATCCTGTGGATCCACGAAAATAAGATGGAGTAGTGTGTAAGATTCCATGTAAATGCGGCAAAGTATATTGGCGGAACAGGAAGGTGCATGCATGAACGGATTAAGGAGCACGATAGGAGTATACGGCTTTCACGAGCTCAGGCTGAGCTCAAACGTCGGCCGTTTCTGAACACGCAAATAAGACCGGTCATTATCCGGTCTAGGACGAAGTTAAGTTAATTGACCGAGACCCTCACTGGTATTCTCGTAGAGTTAAGGAGGCTATCCACATAAGACTTCACTCTAACAACATCAACAAGATCAGTGGAATTGAGATTCCTGAAGCTTGGATGCCTGCAATCAGACAACATGACAACCGACCTCTACCACTGTGGACCGCCGGGAGATCAGTTTCTTCCCCTCACAATACCAACAATGCTTTGGATCGAAACCCACTAACCATGAGCGAGGTTTGTGATACACCAATCACTAACAACCACGGTGGTACAAATAGTTCGACTCAGTAAATTGACAGTATCGCCTGACGAAAACCTGCAGTGTGCGGTCGAAACGTCGCGATCAATATCAAAGTGACAATCGTGAGACAAACGATAAAACTAATCCTTTTATTATCATGATCGTTTTTGTTTCGCATTTACAACTTACAATGAATCAGCTATTCATCCTCAATGAGTATCAAATGCACGCATGCAGTCGTTGTAAACCTGAATCATATTTGGAAGATACATTTACCCTTGAAAAGTATGTGAAATACAGTTTAGTGAGCTCTTCAGGAATAAAAATGTCATGCTGATTTAAAATATTCTCTCCTGGCTCCTAAAAAACTAGATGAAAAATAGTCAGAAAGTGCCAGATAAATCAGACCTACCTACGCAGTTCGTCCAGTCAGATGGATCTGTTGTAAAATACTGGTCGCATGAACAATTATAGCTTCCTGGAGTATTGATGCACTGTTGCGTGCAGTTGGCAATTAAAGGCTTGCATTCATTGATATCTGTGCATAATTGAATAATCAATGACAAACTAAGTAAAAGGGGGTATATCAAATATAGTCTTCCAGGTGGGTGTAATCCTAAATAGTACTGTTGCTGAGTGTTTGATCACGTTTCGAAAACTTTTGCGGTAGTCTACTTCAAAGTCATAGTAATGTAAGTTGTATCTTGTCAGTTGATTGTATTAAACTGTGGTTATTGACCTGATTGGTCAATAAACTCGCGTTGTTACTGGTCATTAGGGCTTAAAAGCCCTGATGTTATTGGATATGAAAACATTTAATGTAAGTGGTGTGTTTAAATCTGTCTTTTTCTTATTAATAACGGTCGTTATTTTTAGTTGAATCGTCTGTTTGTCAGGTAACTTCATTTTTGTCTGTTTGCTTGAGTTCATTTGTGAACTGGATGCCCAGCTGACTTCGATTCAGTGGATTTGTTAGAAACATGAAAGATTTCTGAATCGACAGGTTCAATATTAATTGCACGTTCAAAAATTAAATTACTCACCTTCGCAACTGTAGCCATCAGCATTAATGTTGTACCCATCACGACAGCCACAATAGAATGATCCCGGTATGTTTATGCATTGCTGTTCGCAAATGTTGTTTTGAATGCTCTGACACTCATTGACGTCTGGGAAAAGTTCAGTAATGTTAATAAGTTAAAAACTAAACTGTTTCTCGATGCTAACCTTTAATTTTCAAGAAACATGCTCCTCTCCTGTTTTGTCTATTTTTGGTTTATTTTCATGGAACTTGTTATTCCGATAATCGCGATACGGTCGGACACTGATACTACTTTACGAACTTAAAAAGATATCTAGTTAATCATTCAATTGCTACACCCACCAACACACTGCGCTCCATTTCCAGTGTAACCAGTTGGACACGGTCCACACGTGTATCCACTGACATTGGCCGGCGGGGGAAGATCAGTGCACGCTACGCCTGCGTAACACGGCTGACCATTGAACTCGCAGGCGTCAATTTCGCTATCACAGAATCTTCCCGTGTATCCTCCCTGACATGCGCATCCCATGTAAATAAATTTGATGTCTGAGTTGGCCGTATCACCCTCTTCTGGCTCCACACAGAGTCCACTGTGCTTGCAGGCACACATTTTAATAGTTGGACTCCATGTCGTGCTCGCCACCTTTTCATCAGCAGCAACGAATGACAAATTAAACTGAAAGGCAAATTAAGGAAACCATAATAATAACCCTCATTTAAAATTTCTCCTTCGATATTATTTAAGACACTTCTGTTTCATTGATGCATTTTGTCCGTTTAGATGCGTGGCCACTCACACGAAATTAAAACATATGCACAAAAAGAGATTAGATTACTAAACAAGGGTTAAAGATGGTTAATACCGCGTCTGCATCCTAATTTACAGGAGGATCTAAATTAGAGGGGGAATGCCGCATTTATCATCTTCGCCCCTGATTCCTTAGTTTGCGTTTTCTTTTTTTGCATTATACAATGTGTTATTTACCGTCCAATCTTTCGTTAAAAGTGTTAGTATTATTAAATGTGTTATTAGTCGGTCAATTAGGGAGGATGAGACAAATTCTTTACACAACTCACGAGGATATGACGTACCGTGAAACACTTGTTCAACCCATGTTTTGAGTTATGTTCTATTCACTCTTTAAATAGGTATATTATATGTCTTCTATTGATCTTCAAACAGTAAGCATTTGTCTAGGACTCCAATCAAAAAGTGCTAGTTTTTAGCAGTGATAGAAATTTTTCTCTGACCGGCTACCTTTTGTGAAGATGTAACATGCCAAGTAAAATAGAGTACGTTTCCAATTTGCTTGACAGTGGCACCTGCTGGACGGTTGATGATATGAAAGCTAATGGTGTCGTTGTCTTCGGCTGTGACGTTCAGGTGTACGGTTTCGTGAAGTGTTGCATTGATTTCACTTGGAGCATTAACTATCTTGGGCGGAAAATTGTCTGAGGGAAAACAACGATAACACGGGATACCAGTTATAATAGTATTCTAGATATAAGGTCAAAATACTAACTGGAAACACACATGCACACACACAAAAAAAAATTACAAAACAAAAACAGACAATTGTAATAAAAAAAGCAAAGAAAACACCAATACACAGCTGATTCGAGAGAGTTTGTCCTTATAGAGTGTTAAAGTGTAGACGAAAGGAACAGTGGACAAGTGGACAGTGTTTACTCGAAAAGTTATTTGTCCCTCCTAGAATATGCTACAGCCAATCAAACTTACTTCCTAATTCAGAGACTTTCCTGAAAAACTGTTATGGTTGCTGCCAATAGACTTGATGAAAGCCTCTGGTTATTATTATAAGCCTCTGTTATTATTATTAATAATATTATTAAGCCTCTGTTTTTATTATCAATATTATTTTATTATTATTACTTATAATGCATTTAATGTAGACATATATTTTTATATTATTTTCATGTAGTGTCAGCTCGAAGATATTAGCTTGTTAGCTACTCTAAAATTCGAGTATAAATAAAGTTTATGATAAAGTTTATGTTAGGGTTGTTGTCGTTGTTCTTTCACATTTTCAATAACTTACCAAGAGTATTTGACTCGTTCACTAACTGAATATTTATGTCTTTGGTTACTATTCCAATGGACACGTCATTCGTAGCTGCAGCATCAAACAGGCACTCAATATCATTTCCGCACTGGGCCTCAGCCAATTCCCTCACACTGTTGTTATACCACGTGATATCTTCCACGAACATGGGTGTGAAATCAGACTTTGCAAAGGTCTCCACGCTTTCATTTTGAGCGTAAGTGAACAAAGATTGTGTTTGGTTGATTTGCCCTGAAAAAATGCGTTAAATAACCTAAGAATTCTTCTACATACAGGTACATGATGATGCATTTTTGCCATCTTAACTAATTGGTTAATTTCAGCAAACAAAAGTTTGTTTCTTCAAAAAACCCGACAAAGATACTGAAGGTACGATTTCGGAGGGGGGAATGTCTGCGCTAAGGAGAAACCAGGAAGAGAAAACCAGCACGCCAGCGAACCTAAGAGAACACACCTCTTAACGACAACAATTTCCTGATATCACAGACAACCTCAGTGCTACATGTAAATGAATTGCCTAGTAGTAGAGTCCAAATTTCAGTTGAACAACGTAAGACGACTTATGATAAACACTGCATTTCTTTACACAATACTTACACTTAAGGCCAAATCCAAAGTGAATCTCTCTTGAGGATAAAGTGGGAGACAATGTTGTCCCATCAGGTAATGTGTAGTCGTCATCGGGGTTTTCGTTCCAAGTTCCCAACAGCCCTTTGGTAGCATTTTTGTAATCGTTCGTGAGTGTTACGACTATGGACAGCATTCCCTTTTTTTCACAGAACAACACGGAAGTAGTTGAAGGGAAATAAACTTCCATACAGTTTTCCTCCGGTTTGGAGACAGAGATGTTTCCACCAACGTCTACAGTTTGGTCTGTCAGGCTTTCGTAGTTGTTGTACATTTTTTGTCCAAAACGTATATTCATCCCACCTGAAGATAAAAACTGTGTAAGTGAATCATTCAGTGTTTGGCAAGCAATTAACACCACTTCGAGGAGAATGGTTCACAAGGAAAGAGATGGGTCTAAAACACTGTTCCTTCAATTGCTGTCAAGTTGTTCACATTTCATATACGTAGATTTTGCCAGCATGGATGGTAGAGTGATTGTTGTCTTGTTGCCCTTTGCGTCATCGTGGACAAAAAAGAAATTTGACCTTGATTCTGGTAAATTTAATAATTTGTTTGTTCGTTACTTGACACAATGTGGTGTTATACAAGTTGTCAAGACAATATTGTCTACCTGTTTCTAATCTGAGAAAAGAGAAGACATTTCGTGACCCCACCACTGGTTTCCCTCGAAATAACGACCGAAGGACGATTGCAAAAATTCCATACTGATGACGTGTCACTACCTAGATCTGGGTAGTGTTTCTGATTGATCGTGCCTTGAAGGAAATTTGCTTCAACCAATCAGAATCACTACCCAAACCTGGGTAGTGAACCTCAACAGTATGGAATTTCTGCATTCATTCGTCAGACACCCTTTCGTGGAGAAAAAACAATGTGGTGTCGCGAAATGTTGGCTATTTTCTTAGGCTAAACGGTTCTGCCTATTTTACCAGTCCAAACTAAGTTGTTACCTCCTCTCTTTACTTTAACTTCAACGGTCCAAGTTTCTTTTTCTTTAGCCGCTGCAGCACTAAAAATTGTTGCAGTTGTTGAATTTCCTTGTGCAAGGCCTGTCCTGGCTTGTAGTTGAAATGTTCCACTTTGTGCATCGATCATCACATATTCACCAAGGCCATTGAAGGTGTAATTCCGACCGTCCAAAGTTCTAAAATGAGGATCACCCCAAAACCAACCTACAACACAATTAAAATTCAAAGATAAACTTTTAAAGCAATTGTACGATCAATAATTGAAAAAAATCGTTGTATACTTGCTGTTACCGGTTTTATTTTGTTTCGGTTATTAAAACACTATTGAAAATTCTGCACAACGAAGTTATGAATATAAAAGGGGGAAAAGCTCATGTCTTGAAATCTGAAATGAGTAACCTAAAAAGGTACATTTGCCAAGAAAGCCATGTTTACCAACAGTAGTTCAATAACCAAACAATAGCCCAATAAACACACCACAGGCTTCGATAACCACACGAGTAGTTCAATGACCACTCGTCAATTCAATGACCAAAGACCACAACTGCGGGAGAAATAGTTACAAGTATATTAGATTTTTAATATAAATGTGCTGAATGATTTAATGCTCATTTAGCAATCACATAAAAACTAAATCTAGTCTAGCCCGGTGATCCTTCTTGTGTTAAACAATAAAAAACAAGAACAGTCTCTTACGTCTCTGTGGCGATCTATAAAAACTGCAGTCATCGGTTGGTCGATAAAGGTAAAACAGATCACAAAACTTTGTGTCAACGCAGCAAAATTTATAAGCTTGACTGTCAGCATAAAATGCTCTATAGTCATTGCTCCCATTGTAATACAGATAAATTGGATCAGCTATGACCCTGCTTCCGTCTGGAGGTCCAATTTTAAGAGAGCCAAAGTCGTCCCTCATCGCAGAGTAGCAACACAGCTTGCTCGTCCTAAGGCCAACTAAATCGTCAAGGTCGCCATCGTCATAAGGGAAGTATTTAGAGATTCTGGACCTAAAGCACACATTCGGCCAAGGATAGTTCCAGTCCCGAACGAATCGTCCCCTGTCCAGAAATGCTTGAAATAGGGTACAGGGACACGCCATACGCTGATCTGCATCAATGGCTCCATTATACCAGAATCTAACGTCCATGTCATGTTGGAGAGAAACCCAACTAAAGCACTTTTCAGTTTCATCCTTTTGTTCTCTATTCTCTATTCTCCAAAAATGTCTTCCAAACAAATCCGTGTTTCCTTTCCTTTTGTCGAGGTTGTACATTCCAAGCACAGTACCTGAGCTGTATTAAACAACAGTAACAGTGCTTGTTAATACTCATATCTCAATATATAATATTCTTGTGAATGGAAATGATCACAAGATTTGAATCTTACCCTTCCATGTTCAGCTTCTCGCTGTCTCTTGCGATCCAGCCTGCTACTGGGAGACCATACGCGCCTGTCCAGTAATCATATTCGGATCTGCAGAAAATACGTGCAACAATCCAAGAATTGGTAAAATGATGTCAAAAGAGTATCATCTATAGAGTATCCTTAGTGTTCCACTACCATCTCATGGAAATAATAAAAAGAGCAAGGCTCTGATGAAAATGTTAGTATGTGAAATTCAAATCGTTACAATACTATTTTGAAACACAGAATAGTTTTATCCGTTACAAAGCATTCATCGATGCCTTTGAAAAAGCGAAAAGCGAAGAGAGATGAAAAAGCCTTCGTTTAGGATTAAAATGAAATCGCCGCTAAATGACGGATTTCCTTCCCAAAATGTTATCCTTGCAAAAATTGTTTCAAAAAACACTTACGGCGGAGCTGGAACCGTCCACTGGATTCCTCCAGAGGGATAGTTGTACATTAAGAAGGTATTAAACCAGTTGGTGATGATGACCGCTTGAAAAGTGTTAGTCTGTTAAAAAAAGAGTTCAATCAGATTCCAGAACTTGCTGTTGCATTTAAAGGTAGACCTGTAAAACTAGCAAGTGTTAAGATTGACTGGCTAATGTGTTGTCTTTAGTCCAGCTAGGTTTTCAGTTCCATTTCTTTTAAAGCTCTGTTAACTTAGCCTGCGTGCAGACGATAACTAAACTCTGATTAGTACCGTCTGCGAAGCAGCGCAGAGATCCTTGTTCTGAACCCCCAACGGACTCAACGAATTACCGGAAGTGCGTTTCGAATTTCCCTTCAACCTGATTGGCGATCACGACAAACAAAACGAAGGCCTTTTTTAACTGGCCAATCGTCGCGCGTAGTCAAATCTGGGTACACAGCTGGAAGTCCAGAACAAGGATTTCGGCGCTGTTTCGTAGACGGAGTTAACCAGAGTATAATTTCGTCTGCGCGCAGGCTATGTTAACTTCGATCCTCTTACTTTTCGAAAAGTTAATAATCACCTATCAAAATAACATTTATTAATAGCAATAAACGTGAGGTCAAATTTCTTTACTAATGTAACACTTTTGGGCCAAATGGGATTCAATGTATTTATTTATTTATTTACAGATTAGTATAATAAACCTGTAAGAATCATAATAAAAGGCAAAAAAAACCATAGACCACGAACTTCCAATCAAGGTTATGCTTCCAGATGAACAGCATTGTAGGCAACGAAACGACTGTTCAAAATCAGCCCGCAGAAACAAAGAAGAAAATCCCCCATGACCGTGGTAAAAACTCGGCTCATATTACAACAAACCAGTTGTATGTGCGCCTTATTTTCTAAATCCAAATATTTCCGACACCAGTCAGAAAGACACACACAAGAGAGTAGATACCGGAGACCAAAAAATAGGAAAATAGCTATTTCTGCCTGTTCTGCAATGCTTTTCTGCCAGAAATACCATTTTCAAAAGGTAAAAAAATAAAACAGAATTATAGGCTTACCCAGGGACACAACAGCTCTGTACAACTAACGTAAGGACAGAGGTTGACCCAAGTAACAACAAGAACCCATGTAGCTGTAAAGTTCTTAAATTTTTCTTCGGTGGTGTAACGTTGAACATGCTGGGAAGCCAAACTGAGGATCATTTCTTTTCGAGGATGACCTTGACTGCTCTGTTCGTACGCTTGATAATAAACCTTTGAATTTCCATTTTTAAAGGCAAGATCCTCATCAACCCTGGCCCAGAATGGTGCGATAATCGCTTTACCGCTCAACCATCGGAAAGGACCAAACTTCTGAGGCCAGCGCACACTCCATCTATCGTTCAGTTGTATTTTGCCATTTATGCATATCTACGATAGAATAAGAACTTTTTGAATTTTTACTGAAATAACCCAGCCATAAGCTCGTCTATTTCCAAACAGAGAAACTATTTAAGCCTTCGTCCTCCCAGACAATATAGGCCTGTGTGTAAAAAAAATATAACTGTGCGCTTTTCGGAATATAAAAAAGTACCTGTCGTTATCAGCTTGTTTCTAAAATATATTTTTTAAATATTATGTTACGTATAAACTTCCCTGGATGTAAGACCATCCAAAACCAATTAAGAAATTGTAGAAGCCTAGTACTTAGAACCGGTACTCGTTTCGAAACTTGGAGCCATCGGGTATATCGCAACAATCTGCCTTTATAGGAAAGTTTTATTCTTAGAAGTCACCAATGGACCTTAAACAAAATGTGTTTCAACGATTGAAGGATGGAAATAACCCATAACGAAAAAACAATAAACGTTCCCTGATCTTCTCCTCAGTCTTGCAAGACGGAATCCACCATGAAATTGAGTAATTTAAAACAAATGCCAAACTGGACTATAACTTTTCTGTTCTCGAAGACGGCAAATGAAGGCTGCACATTGATACTTACATGTAACTTGAAATGCCTCGCCTGGAAGAATGGAAATCCAAAACGACCTGCACTTATCCTGTGACAGCGGTTGTCGATACTGCAAGATGATTCGGTACTCAATTCGTCATCATTCTGCCCCTTTCCATAAGGATAAAGATTGTCGTCAAATGGAGTTTCTTCAAGTAAAAAAATGGGAAAGAAAAGAAAAAAGGAAGTAATTTTATTATCATTAACTAAATTAAATTTCCTGCTCGCTACTAGGTTAAATTATCACTATTCATGCTATGATTAAATCTATGGACTGTAACGCGTTACCAAACACTTTTCTGCACGTTGGTGCAGTTTTATGTAGATTCAAATTATGGTTTTTAAATTCTACGTTTATATCTTCGCTGAAAGGTCAACAAAAATAGCGATGTGTGATAATTGAGTAACTACCTCTCAATACTGATTGATGCAAAGAAACTATCTGACAAAACAATACGGCACGGTTGACAAGTGGAGTAAAAGAAATGAAATCTAGCCAAAGAATAAAGAATGTTCTACCTGTTACTGGATGTATAACACTTGCGCTGAAAGTAGCTGAGACTCTCGATTTTGAAAGGCTGGAATGACCGGGCTGCAATAAGCGTAGAGATGCAGTGGTATACTCTCGAAAGTTTGAATCAACAGACGGTGAAATGGTGGCTGGTGCGCTTGTTTTAAATTGTGTAAGCCTTACAGGCGTAAGCTTGGAGGTACCCTCGAATGACCTTGAAAACGGTGGAATACTCAAACTGGGAGTTGGCAAGACGCTGGAAGACACCCTTGATAAGGCACTGGCTGTTATCGACGGCAAATGGATTGTAGATTCGCTCGAGTTTCGTGAAACAGTCGGACGCACAAACAGTGGCATACCGGTATTTGAAGAAATAATTGTGGGTGCTGAGATACTACCACTGGTGGACTCATTACCCGTATCATCATCACCGCTATCATCATCCCTATCATCACCACTTCCATCACCACTATCATTACCGCTGCCATCACCGCTATCATCACCGCCATCATTACCACTTCCATCACCGCCATCATTACCACTTCCATCACCGCCATCATTACCGCTTCCATCACCGCTATCATCACCGCTGCCATTACCGCTAATATTACCACTTCCATCACCACTATCATCACCGCTGCCATCACCGCTATCATCACCGCTGCCATCACCGCTATCATTACCACTTCCATCACCACTATCACTACCGCTGCCATCACCACTATCATTACCACTGCCATCACCGCTATCATAACCACTGCCATCAGTGTTGCCATCGCCACGACCATCAGCGCTGCCATCACCACTGTCATCACCACTGCCATCACCACTATCATCACCGCTGCCATCACCACTATCGTCACCACTTCCGTCACCAATGATAGACGCTAAGACACTTGCGGCCACACGTGTAGATGGTGAGTCGCTCACACTAATAGAGAATGAGGAACCTCTTGAGACACTTGGTGAAGCTGACACGCTGAGGCTAAAAGAGTTCGAGACACCTAAAGACACAGTGGACGAAGGAGAAACACTTGGAGATTGACTTCCAGACTGTAAGACAATCAAACTGAAAGACCCTGAGTTACTAAGAGAAACACTTCTTGAAGGTGTAACGCTGACGCTAATGGATTGGCTTGTAGATTGTGAAACACTTACCGAAGCTGAGACACTCAGGGTCACACTTGTGGAAAATGAGCCACTGCGTCTGACTGACTGTGAGGCGCTTGCAGAGTAACTTATTGATGATGAAACGCTGTTACTGAATGACAGCGACAGACTTGCTGAAAGACTTGAAGCTGACAGGCTAATGCTGACAGAGTGGGGGATACTATGGGAAACACTTACTGAAGGTGAAGTACTGATGCTGACAGAATCCGAGACACTAGGAGACAAACTTGTTGAAAGGGAAACGCTGATGTTCACAGAGTCCGAGACACTAATAGACAAGCTTGTTGAAGGTGAAACACTAATGCTGACAGAGTCCGAAACACTAGGAGATGCACTTGTTGAAGGTGAGACGCTAATGCTAACAGAGTCCGAGACACTAGGGGACAAACTTGTTGAAGGTGAAAAGCTGATGCTTGCAGATTCGGAGACGCTAATAGACAAGCTTGTTGAAGGTGAAACACTAATGCTGACAGAGTCCGAAACACTAGGAGATGCACTTGTTGAAGGTGAAACGCTAATGCTCACAGAATCCGAAACACTAGGAGACAAAATTGTCGAAGGTGAAACGCTGATGCTCACAGAGTCCGAGACACTACCAGACAAGCTTGTTGCAGGTGAAAAGCTGATGCTCACAGAGTCCGAGATACTAGGCGACACACTTGTTGAAGGTGAAAAGCTGATGCTTACAGATTCCGAGGAACTAATAGACAAGCTTGTTGAAGGTGAAATACTAAGGCTGACAGAGTTCGAGACACTAGGAGACACACTTGTTGTAAGTGAAACGCTGATGCTCAAAGAGTCCGAAACACTAGGAGACACACTTGTTGAAGGTGAAACGCTGATGCTCAGAGAGTCCGAGACACTAGGAGACACACTTGTTGAAGGCGAAACGGTGATGCTCACAGAGTCCGAGACACTAGGAGACACGCTTGCTGAGGGTGAAACGCTGATGCTCACAGAGTCCGAGATACTAGGAGACACACTTGTTGAAGATGACACGCTGATGCTAACAGAGTCAGAGATACTAGGAGACACTCTTGTTGAGGGTGAAAGGCTGATGCTCACAGAGGCCGAGACACTAGGAGACACACTTGGTGAAGGGGAAATGCTGATGCTCAGAGAGTTTGAGACACTAGGAGACACACTGGTTGAAGATGAAAGGCTGATACTCACAGAGTCCGAGACACTAGGAGACACACTTGTGGAAGGCGAAATGGTGATGCTCACAGAGTCCGAGATACTAGGAGACACACTTGTTGAAGATGACACGCTGATGCTAACAGAGTCAGAGATACTAGGAGACACTCTTGTTGAGGGTGAAAGGCTGATGCTCACAGAGGCCGAGACACTAGGAGACACACTTGGTGAAGGGGAAATGCTGATGCTCAGAGAGTTTGAGACACTAGGAGACACACTGGTTGAAGATGAAAGGCTGATACTCACAGAGTCCGAGACACTAGGAGACACACTTGTGGAAGGCGAAATGGTGATGCTCACAGAGTCCGAGATACTAGGAGACACACTTGTTGAAGATGACACGCTGATGCTAACAGAGTCAGAGATACTAGGAGACACTCTTGTTGAGGGTGAAAGGCTGATGCTCACAGAGGCCGAGACACTAGGAGACACACTTGGTGAAGGGGAAATGCTGATGCTCAGAGAGTTTGAGACACTAGGAGACACACTGGTTGAAGATGAAAGGCTGATACTCACAGAGTCCGAGACACTAGGAGACACACTTGTGGAAGGCGAAATGGTGATGCTCACAGAGTCCGAGATACTAGGAGACACACTTGTTGAAGATGACACGCTGATGCTAACAGAGTCAGAGATACTAGGAGACACTCTTGTTGAGGGTGAAAGGCTGATGCTCACAGAGGCCGAGACACTAGGAGACACACTTGGTGAAGGGGAAATGCTGATGCTCAGAGAGTTTGAGACACTAGGAGACACACTGGTTGAAGATGAAAGGCTGATACTCACAGAGTCCGAGACACTAGGAGACACACTTGTTGAAGGCGAAACGGTGATGCTCACAGAGTCCGAGACACTAGGAGACACACTTGTTGAGGGTGAAACGCTAATGCTGAAAGAGTCCGAGACAATAGGAGACACACTTGTTGAAGGCGAAACGGTGATGCTAACAGAGTCGGAGACACTAGGAGACACACCTGTTGAAGGCGAAAGGCTGATGCTCACAGAGTCCGAGATACTAGGAGACACACTTATTGAAGGTGAAATGCTCACGCTAATGGACTGGAAGATACTTGTAGATTGACTGGCAGAAGGCGAAACGCTGGGACTAGTCGACGGTGACACACTTACAGACACACTTGAGGAAGTTGATGCGCTGAAGCTGGCTGATTGTGAGGCACTAACAGATTGACTTGTTGAACTTGAAACAGTAGAACTAACTGACACCGACAAACTCTTGGTCGGTGGTGTGTCATCATTATTGTCATCACCACTTTCGTCACCGCTATCGTCACCACTGCAATCACCACTTTTACCACCACTGCCGTCACCACTTTCATCACCACCGCCATCGCCACTTTTACCACCACTGCCATCGCCACTTTTACCACCACTGCCACTACCACTGCCATCACCACTGCCGTCACCACTTTCATCACCACTTTTACCACCACTGCCATCACCACTCTTATCACCACTGCCATCACCACTCTTATCACCACTGCCATCGCCACTTTTACCACCACTGCCATCACCACTTTTCTTTCCACGTTTGCCTTTTCCACCGTCAGCGCTTTCATCACCACTATCCTCACCACTATAATCAGCATTATCATCATCGTCATCACTTTCTCCCCAAATGTACGAAGGTAACACAGTGGAAGACGTCCTAGTTGATGATGGCGTGGTAAGACTAATGGAAGACGATACAGTGACAAGTACCCCTGCTGATGGTGAAAACCTTACACTGGAGGCCATTAAGAAACTGACATATTCACTAGTTGACAATGACACGCTTGAGCTGATAAACCCCGAAGTTTTGCTTTGCGACATTTTATAATCGTCGTCGGTATCATCACCGCTTCCGTCGCCACTTTCGCCACCTTCATATGCACTTATGGAATGTGCCACGCTTAAACTATCTGATACAGTTATATTTGGAGAAACACTTGAAGACGGATCTTTAACGATCAGAGTGACTAAAAACAAAAAGATATAGCATTGGATACTAAAATTTATTTTAAAAGATAATCACACTTAGTACTAGAAGACTATACAATACATCATCCAAGTTCCGTTCAGCCAAACCCGTTATTAAGCGAAATGCCTACTGTCTGTTTAATACAAACTCACAGTTAAACATAGGCTACTCGCGCCTTAAATCAAATAACAAAATTGATCTTTTAGCGTTTTCTACTTTTTCTTGTATCAAAATAAAAAAAGAATAAAATTACAGAGCATTTTATGGTCACAACCAAATGTATTTAATGCTGACTGGTATTATAACTTAAAGTTTGCAATGCCTCTGTGTAGTACTTTATTGGTAAAGAAAATCTTTGAGGCCTGTTGAGTGTGACCACGGCCGCTTTATAAATAAGGGAAATGAGCCTTTGGCCTTTAACTATTGAACGTCAACGAAAGATAAAATTTCCACAAGCCTCGATCTTTTCTAGGTTTAGAGGCGCTGACATTGCTACCCTCTGTCACGATTTTGGCTGGCCCAACAACAACTGCACAGAGATTTAACTTCAATTCTTGGTAATATTGTCTCTAAATTCGACGCATTCTTGCTTGATTACGTCAAATAATAGCGTTCAAGGGCGTAATAGAAAGAGCTTGTAAACAGCTTCTTTTCTAATTTCTACCTCTGGCAATTATTTTGATAGCTTTTGCTTTCCGCACGCACGCGCCTGTCAAGCGGAGATAGTTCCTTGTTAACTCTTTACATCACAAGAATATGCTTATACAAATTCTCCATACTATCTATATACAATTGCTTGAAAAATTAGTTGAGAGAATTTGATAAAAGATCAAAGCATTTTTCTTTGGGGATCATAACTTTCTCTTTTGATGATGTGTTCATATTGCGAATTTCCTTATATATAGTCCGTATAGTGGCTATTGGCAAGCTGGGGGGCAGTTTCCTTCTGCATGTAAGGAATATACACGTAAGCACAATATTGGATACTTAGTAGCTAGGTTACACGAGACTGATTAAAACCCGGATCAGGTCGCACATACTACAGACAAGAGCGAGGATTTTATGAAATTGAGAAGCAATTATACATGACCGGTGACACTTGAAATCACTCTCCAAAAAGAGCCCCAAAATAAATCATAAACTTTGCTAATTTTTGGGTGATATCCCAGACCGGAAGCTAAAGCGGAAGAAATGACTTTTTAAAATAATTTAGGTAAAAAAATCAGCAAAGTTTCTAAATAAAAAACAAAAAAGTTCCTTAATAAAAACGAGGGCAAAGATTCATATCTGTAAATCCAAAGGCGTGCCAATCAGCTTTAGTTTACACCGTTCTCATGATATTGCCTCTATTAGACTGGTCGCATGCAGACGTTCTCGTGCCGATGTAAGTTATCCGGGGATAGCTTACTGTTGAAGATGCAGCCAGTTTCTATTCAAGTCTATATCAGAAAGTCTCTATCAGATATATTCGACAGAATCCTTAAGCTGTTTACCATGCCTGGTTACCATCCTGAACTTAAGAAGATGTAAGCCATTATCCTGTCTCTCTGTTCTGCTCCTAAATTTGTCAGGTAGGACGTCTTAATCTGAGAGACCATTTGCAAAGTGACTGATCGGAAGTTGACACTACTCCAGTTTAAAAACACATGGTCTTAGATAACAGGGATAACCGTGGCCAAACACTCTAGTCAACCTAGGCCATTTTTGAACATTAGTGGAGGAATTAGTATCAGCATTTCAATTAACTAATGCAGAGGGTCCAAAAATAAAGAGTAGGTTATTCTACAGCTGATAAGTCTTGAGTATATCAATCATGTTTAACAAACATAATCAAGTGAACGAAAAACTCCTTTTTATCAATTTTCGTTGACAATCAAGACACCGGAGTTTTACTAAGAATTGATACAGCAGGAATGCTGAATAATAAGTATGCACTAACGATATAAGACTTGAAAATGGAGACACCTTTCTATACCTAAAAAAGAATAAGTCTTAAACTATAAAGAAAATATGAAAAGATTTCTTACAATTCAAAGCCTGAACTGGTACACACAGTACAAACGCAATCCAGAAACCTCGCATGGTGTTTTGTTGGGCCTTGACTGTAGCGCCTTGGTGGCCTTATGATTTTGTCATAAATCAGTAACTCTTCACTGATCACCACCAATTTTTGTAACATTCCAAAGTCGTCAAAAACGCATTGATAAATTACTGCTTTAACATTGCCAGTGATTATCTTGAACCGAACCGAAGACTGTGAAAACCCAAAAGAGAAGAGCGCTGCAATTCAAACCCTTCTCAATACTCGACACCATTTTAACGAAACAGAGATGATGGCTCAATCACAACATAACTTTCTTTAATTTTGCTTTTTTCATTCTGATATAATTACACCACAAAAAATTCTTCAAATTTGGATAAACCAGGCTTTTCTATACGTCACAGTGTTGCCCCAATGTTGTTCAACACTGCTTGAATGACTGAAAATGTTATATCCGTCCCATTGTTTGGTGATATTGTTTCTTCAAGAATTGAATCAGAGTTAAAAACTTCTTATCAATTAACCCCTTTGCCTCTTTTGTTCTTGCAGACGATTGACCATAAAGCAACATAATGAATGTACGTGTGTGGAAATGCTTTAGTTGTTTGTGTTCAACACGCTATATATTTACGACAACAAAATGATAGGTGTTGGATCGTGGCTAGCTATGGTTGAAGGGTTTTTCTTCGGATTTCGTCTTAACGTGCCCTAAAAGAATACATCTAATGGTTTCAAAAATTGCTAAATCATAAGGCAAAAATCCTTTTCTTCACCTGAAGCAATGACGTGAGAAATTATGAGCGGTAAGGATAAACAATATAATTTAATAGAAGCTAATAGAATCGCCTTAGAGCATGATTGCATTACACTGCAATTTACTTTTGTTAGTTTTTACGAATGTTCTCGGAAGCTAAAGGGGCTTACCCAAAGTTTTTAATTTTAAGCTCTTCTTATCTGTTTTCTTAGTTTATACAAAAATTTGTATTTTTATTTTTCTTTCATTTAATTACATAATTTTAGACTCCCGCACTTTTCTCAAAGTCGACGCTTCTCTATATTAGGTCGCCGTATTAGACACCATATTAACATGAACTTTACTTGCGATATACCTCACGCAAATTGGGATTTTAAGAGAACAAACTAAGATGACTCGAGCCTAATACCAGCATTAAGGTAAAGTTTATTGAAGGAACCTTCCTCTCTAACCGGGGTCGGCCTTACTGGTACTCCCATAGTATAGGCTATTCAGAGTATCAATATACTACCGGAACTACATTACCGAAACTGAGACTTCCAGAAGCATTAATGCCTACATCAGACAACACAGCAACCAATGGTTACCATAACAGACCCCTTACGGAACAGTTTCATAAAATGCTTCGAAGCGAAACCCGCCAAACATAAGTGGGGTTAGTGATACACCGAACACTAGCAGCCAAGGTGGTCAGTACTAATAGGCTCAGTAAATCGACATTATCGCCTGATGAAGACCAACAATACGTACGCGGAAGAAACGCGTCGATCAATAGCTTGCGTAGCTGGTGGCGTTGTTTGCCGAGCGCGCGCGTTTATGCAGTTTTTTCCGCTCTCGCCAAACAAACCGGCAGCTACGCAGGCCATGCCATCAATGGGTAATTGACTATCGTAACACAGACGATAAACGAGGCTATCGTACACATTCCACTATGTCATGATTCATGTATTTTTCATGGTATAAACCGTCATGTGTTCCTAAAATCATGCTCAGGCTCTTCGATATAGAGACAATTAGTTTGATTTTAATCCTTATAAACAATGTGCATGCATAAATTACACCATAATGGTCTGTCAGAACTTTATTTGAGTTTGTTTTTAACTCTAATACAACAATCCTTTGAATTACACCAAAGATTATTCGCCTCAATTCAATAACTAACAACGTTGACTGTCTTAAAAACTGTTACTCTCATCTTTGGGTATGGTATGTGTTGGAAGAGATAAACTAAATTAATTAGTAACTCAAGCAAATGAACATCACACAAAATATCACTTAAATAATTTTTTAACGTAAAGTGATTACTTGATAAACAGTCCACATAGACAAACAGGGTCAACAAAGTGCGTCCTGCTCTTTTAAAAATAAGGACTTCATTCTGGGCCTTGATTTTTTACAGTGTAGTTAGTGAAACATTGAACACAGTTTGTTCAAGCGTGCATTGATGGTAAAGGCGTAAAGAGAGCTTATGGGGCGCACATTGCCGAGGCTGTTCCCAGTTTCTATAGCATGAAGCCTTCGGAGTATTTCTCAGTTGTGAATGTAGTGTTTTCTTGATCTTACCAAAGCTAAGCAATGCAGCAATAGCAGCTGCCACAGAAAAAGAGACAGGGGCAGCCCAGATTAGTGTCGTGTTCATTGTCAGCGGGTCCCTCGTTGTTTTCAACCTACAAAATAACGCTCATCAGTAAAAAATAATGATAAATCAATTTAAACCTGAGGCAGACCACGCAAATTGATTGATATGTTCCCCCACAAAAAGGGAATGTGCATAGTACCAGTTTAATTCGAAAAATAGAAATGCTTGTCTCGCAGAACCTTACGAAGTTAGGGGAGAGAGGTAAACGGTGGAAATCAAGATGAAAAAAGTGGCAACACGGAACTCTTAACATGAAGGACGTCAGCCTCGCCACTGGGCTCAGGGAAGCTACATACTTAATATATGCTAGTGGTGTGAACAAATTTCAACTCAACCCACCGTTTAAAAAACAACATTTTTAAACGATTTAAATTAAAATGTGGAGAAACAAACCTAGGATGCTCGTAGGAAAGCGTCAAGTTCGAGTTTTGTCGCTAGGCAACCCGCGGACACCAAATGGCAGCAAGGGATTCGACCGACCTATAAGGTGATCTAAGCGAGACGCGAATTCCAACAAATTTATAGACCTCACTTCGAGAGGAATTGTTTTATAAATTTAATCAGTTCTATTGAGCATGTGACTGACTAAGGCTTATTCTATTCTTTGATGATCTGGATGAAAACAAGATGATCATTACTTTCTTGCTAAAATCAAAAAAGGCTGTTTCAATTTTGGCTGTCTAAAACTTTTTTTGGAAATTCTGGCACATGTTCCATATTTTCGGACCAGCCCATAAAAAATTATGCATTTTCTTTTGGTAGACGAATGGATCGAATATCTATCTACATATCTGTACTCTACGAAAAAAAGCATTTGATATTATCAGCAACCCAATTATAATCTTTAGCTACCACGCACACGATACTGAACATGTGGTCAAAACACGTGAAGGAGATAAGAATGTTGACCTTAATAAACCTGTGACAGTATGCTTCCTGTAGGTTACAAGCCTTCGAGCTATGCCAAGTATCTAATATACCACAGCCTTAGTGAAGGCCTCCACCCTCCCCCCCGGGTATTCGGACATTTGTTATATATTTCTCCAAAAGCTACAATGCTTTGCGTCGGGGCCAGTGACTCAAGACATACAACTGTCCTAACCTCTTTATTTTGCATGTAGTTCAATAAACCAGCTTCATTTTCTTCCTTGTGATCTGATAAACCCGGCTCAAATTCGTCTTCGTCATCAGACAAACCCGGTTCATCGTTTTCGTCATCTAATAAACCCAGCTTATTTTCGTCTTCGTCGTTCAATAACCCATATTCTTCGGCGAGAGAGTTCGGATCTTCCTGGGCGAGATTCTTATTTAGTGTGAATGCCACTGCCACGGAAAACAAAAAGAAAACTGCGACAACGACCCCCATCCTGACTGTTGTTTGGTCCTTTCTGTGCAAAATAAAAGGAATAAATATACCTTATGGTGATCGCAGTTTTCTAAGACGACAGCTAACTTTCTCCTCAGCGTTCAAAGAAGACGGGTCTCCAGTAAGGCTTAAAAGTCTCATAAGCCGTTTATTCCACCTCAATGTTCGATATTTTACTTCCAAGAGGAGTGGGAGGGGGGGAGGGGTGGGCGCCGGATGTAAACAGACGGGGGTGATGGAAGTTTTGGGGGAGGGGAGTGGTGGGCCTCGAAAGTTTCCATTTCGGGATTTTTTTTAGTTGATCAAGGATAATCTGATGAAGATTCGTGTAAATATAAAGCCGCGTATGTCAGCCTTTTCTGAGTTCTGACAAAATGGCACACTGAAACTTGATTGTTGATGAAACTTGTTGTTTCGCCTTCCGTTTCAACCCATGGTCCCAGTGTCTCGGGTTGTATCCATGAAGACCTTCGTGGATTGTATATTAAAAAAAGAAATACAGCAATTCATTTTCCCAGAGAGGTTTGATTTTTTTCCCAATGCAACTCAATCATCCCCGCTGCTTTAAATCCGGAGTACTGCCCACCACTCCTGCACTTCTACGTAGTTAGATTTATGCATTTTCTAATCATTTGGTCATTTTAGTCCTTCAGGAAGAAAGAAAGCTTCTCTTTTTCAAGGCCTACATAAGGAGCTTTAGCAACGATGATGGCGACAGCAACGAGGACACCAATAAGATGATAGCTATTATAAGCAAAAGGACAATTCTACACGTGCGGAACACTTTTGGTACAATTCTTTGCCGTCACTGCAAGACGACGTAAAATTTCTGTAATTTTCTATGTGACGTTTTATGAAGGACGTTAACACACGATGACGAATTTTTCTTTCACTTTCTCGTCCATTCAACTTCGGGAAAATTCACTATATATTTCTATATATATTAAACAATTATTGTATTAGGCTGAGTATCATCTGGAAAATTATGGAGATCGAGAAGGGTGTTATCCGCCGAAAACGATTCCTAGTTTAAAACAAGCGAAAACATGCTTACCTTCGTCGATGTTAGAATGCAAGTTCATCATCGATAGTGCATGTTTAACGGCAAATTTATGATAGGAAGGGTTGTACAGTTCTGCAAATATTCTCCAAATAGGAGATGTCGTCCGTCGAGTTGTCTTCTTGCTGTTTATGCTGTGCTTTTAACCAAAAGTTCGCCTTTTCCTTCCTTTTGAAAAGAGTAAAAAGTTCCGCCATTTTGTATCACTACCAAAACAACTCAACCTCGTCCCCAGGTTTTCTCGGTTAACGGTTCAATAATCTGGCAATTTTGCTGCACGATTGACGTCATCACTTAAATATCGCAAAATTCTTTCAAATTTGGTCAACAGTAGCTGGTTATGATAAATTATGCGAGTGAATCTAGCCAATCAGAAACGGAGAAATATTTTGAATTAATTATTATAATTAATTATATATATATACCGTCGATTTACTTCGATTTGATGGTATATTTGATTAGAAACGAGGTTGATCGATGGTATATTTGATTAGAAAAAAGGCTGCATGGGCAATAGACCATCGAATAACCTCTTTTTCAGACACAGCCACGTTGCTGTTTACGGTACAAGTGAACTAAATCAGATGGCATTCACGGTTATTCAATTGAGACAGCTGAAATTCAATATTAAGCAAAACATATTACTCGATGGATGTTATCTGCTTTTTGAGGAGTTCTGCAAGAAAAACATCAGTTTATATCCTGAACTGTGCCGAAAAACAGGTCAAAGTTTAGAAGAATTAGTTTTGAATGAATAATAAGAGAACAATTGTAGAATTCGGCGTTCGTTTTGCCTCGGTGAATAAGTGATCCTCAACGATCTGCATAATTCTTCACATCCTACTCTGCCTCATTCAATAGTTGCTGAATATAAAAAGAGTAACTTTTTTTAGCCTTTGGGGATGTTAAATTGTAGGACTTTGACGAGTTGAAGTACATGAGGTGATACGACCGTCGGGTTTCGTTAAGAATTTAAGAGGGCCTATTATAACATTTTTCGAACAGACACAGCTAATGACTATGTTATTTTACTTTATTTTACTTCATTGTATTAAAAGCAACGTGAAAATGACGAGGAGGCTTCTTGATTCAGCGATTTACTCATTTGAAATGGGTACGTGAAAGATGTACCATTTCTCCATGAAAGGCATACAAAAGGTAATCGTTTCTGTCAAAAATAGTAACTATCAGCTAACTATATAAAAAGGGAAAGGTATTGGAGATTGGGGCGGGGCCTCTCCGATGGCATTAATAAACGTTGCGAAAATTGTATCTGGAAACATTCAGTACGCACATTCAGCGTCCCAGGGCATTTCGATGAGAAAAATTTTTTAATTTTGTACCACCCGGAAGGTATTGCAATCATGCATGGGCTCCGAAAATTGTGTTTTCGCAAATTAAGATCTCTTGAGTCAGTGACTTTCTGGCATTAGAAAAGTCCAATTTGGTGAATTCATAATGGCGGCCCTGCCACCGCTTGTATCTTGACACTGACTCGCGCAAAAGTGAGCAAGGAGGAAAGACTGGACAAAAAATGGAAATGTCAGGCGCCAGAATTGTGTAAAGGGTTTTTACCCTTTCACCTTGAATATCATACAATAAGCCCCGCGGCTCATTTCTGTCTTCGTCTTCAAGTAAAACCTGGTTCATCTATTACGCTGTCCAAAAAGACTCAGCTGATTGTCATTTTCGTCGTCAAATAAACCCGTTTTTTTGTTCTTCTTCGGTAAAAGCGTCCTTTGCCCTATTGCGTGTAATAAATACGACATACCTAAGTAGCAAAAAGCGAGCGCCCTAGATGAAAATTTAACAAGTCTTTGACCATTTTCCCTGTTTTGTATATTTTACTGTACGTATTTGTATATTATACAATTTTTAAAACGATGAGTTCGAAGAACAATAAAAAACGAAAGCTTCATGTTTAATATCGAACGTGAAAATAAAAGAAAATTAGTTCACTGTTGTGGTCCCGAATTTTTCCTTTCTTCCTTTTCTTTTCCCAGGTAAAAAAAAAATGAAATATAAAATGATATAACTGTACAGATATTTTTGATACAAATCTTATAATAAAGTACCGTTTCACTTACCGATGAACAAATGTCACAAACCTCGACTTGAAAAATTGTCTGTCCTCTCATTTGATTATTCACAAATCTAAAAACATCTTTTAAAAAAATAAGCGTTTCCTAAGAAACGCTCAGACTTCAAAAAATTGTAAATAATAAACAGAATTCAATTATAATGAATTTCATGCAGAAACCAATTATTGTCAAAAATTCATCTATCAAACCTTCTCTCACCTTTATAATGAGTCTTATAATGAGAGAGGGATCAAACAGGTGAAGTGGATTTCTGTTATGAATATTTCGTTACTAACAAATCTTATAACGACTGAAAAAAGACTTTTTACCGTATTTGATGCAGAAAACATATTGTCAAAATTCGCTTAACGACTTAAAACTATCATTATTTAGATACCAACAACTCTGATAACTTTGGACAATAAGTTTTGCATCTTGTAAAATTTCATTACCTAAATCTCTTTTCACGTAAGAAGAAGTACGTTGCTCGGAAACTATTTGGCTAAAAAACTTGTGTTTCGATTCGTCGCGGCTGCTGAATAGAAGCAATAAAGACTCATTTATACAGGGTTAGCCTCGACCCAAGGTAAAATATTCAGAAATACCGGCGAGAAGGTGCCTAAATTTGAGTTTAAAATAGCAGGCAGCTGTACACAGGTCTTCTTCTGACTGGATTTGTGAATATGTTTATACCTTAGGTTGGTTTTACCAACATATGGAATTTTTTAAAGTCAAAAGCACATTCAATCATAAAGGAGGCGAATAATTATATAACTCTGCTGAGCAAACTGAATTTTGGCCTGAGTTTGTTCAACCTAGATCCCAACAAGGGCACCAGAACGTTCAAAAGAAATGCGGAGGCCATGGATTCGAATCCCGTTGAAGCCCCAAATGTTTTTCGAATTAATTTGCAATTTCTTAAATTTTTCACTACAACTTAACTGCAATGATTATATTTTCATTTTCATTCTATGGCTGCAGTGTGTACGCTTAACAAGTTGTGAGAACATCCACGTTCGTTTCTCGGTTGTAGACCTTGTCGCTTCCTTCTCCCCCCTTCCCTCGTCCCCTGATTACTGCTTGACTTCACTTAAATTAAGCCTCAATTTAAAGAAGTAAATAAAGGAAGGACCTCGTAGTCTCTAAGGAACTGGTAGGAACTCAATTGATACGGACACGGGCCAAGGGGACATGCACCGTTGGATCTCTCTGAGTTTCACACTTATCTTAACTTTACCATCTGGGTATTTTACAAACCATGCTAGTCAAATTTCATATACCTCATAGGAACTTTTCGTGGCAGAATTAAACATTGCTGAGCAAGAGAATACAGGCAGAGTCAACGAAACCTGAAAAGGAAAAAGGAAAACAAAACACAACTCAAGCGTTAAGATGTATCATCTCGGCATGATTGCCTTTTTTTATTCGTCTTCGACATATGGTACACCCGGCTCGTCGTCAAGAAATCCAGGTTCATTTTCGTCTTCGTCGTCAAATAATCCCTCTGCATTGTCTTCTTCGTCAACTGCTACACCCAGCTCATCTTCTTCGTCATCAAATGATCTCGGCTCATTTTCGTCTTCGTCGTCAAATAACCCCGGTTCGTTGTTTTCTTCGTCAAAAGGTTTGAAGTCCTCTTGCTCAACTGTAAGATAATCCTCTGGCTCTTCCTGCTCAGGGAGAGTGAATGCCAACGTCACGGAAATGAGACACAAGAAGGCGACTATGACACGCATCTTGACTGTTGTTTTTGCGTTTCTGTAAAAAATATTATATTTTTCTGTCATAAGCATATTGTATTTCCATTATTAGTGAGAATATGCTAAATGAACGAAACTTATCGTGATAAAATGGAAACA